GCAAAGAACAGTATTTTCCAATCGATAATGCGCGCGTTACCTATACGAAAAGGTCGTGCGCGTAAGAAACAGTTCTGCGAGTTGTGCAATGAAAAACGAAAAAATTTTAAATTACCTATGTACGCGGTAATTTCAAACGCGTTTATTGTGGAAATAAATTAGTCTGAGACCATGTACAAATTGCAATATCAGTGAGGTTAAAAAATAATATAAAAATAAAACATGAAACGCAAAATAACCTGGTTGCCTCACGATTTCCTTTTATTTACGCGAAATTAACGTTTTCCAGCTTAATCATCGCTGTATAAGATTTTCTCTGCACAGTATTTTTTTCTCCAAGGGCAATTTTTTCAGGAGCAACTTTCAGTTAAAAAAACTAAACATTGGCAGAATATACGAGTTCAAAGACCGAAGCAATATGCTGATTCTCGTTAATTGTTCTGTTTTAGATACAGCCAGAACCAGTCATATTATTCCATTATTCATTTGGTCGAAAACTGCCTTTTTTCAGACAAGAAATAGACTAAACGCTATCCATACATTTCACGAGAATTAGAAAATGCGAGTTATCTATAAATACATTTTAAAGAGCATAGTGAAGTACAAGGTGCTCTTTATCGCTAAATACGGCACAGCAAAACGTGTTACTGCTTTATTCAGTAATGAAAGTGTAGTTTTCAAAAAGGAAATTATTACGCACTTTCCGGGTTATGAATTATGCACACACAATTTATGATCCTAGCAGGGAAATGTTCCTTGTGTTTGAAAGATTCGACCAATATGTGGTCGCAGAGCTAACCTATTGATATGAAAGACGTACACTACGCCTAGAATAGAATTCCCAGCTATTCATGGAATGTAGATTGCGCCGCGCAGCATGGAAATATGTATATTGAAAAAAGATAGGTAAGACCAGTGCACTCACAACAGCATATGCACATGATGAAGTTGAAATAGTAAAGGACAGAAATGCTACAAGAGGAACGACCGCTGCTGAAGCAGACAGAGAGAAAATACTACGGGGTCCACAAGATAGTAAAAATCAGCAGAAAGACCTCGAGATCGATGGCACAAAAATAGAAACGCCGAAAGTTTTTGGCAAATTATTGACGATGCCTTCATCCAGAAGTGGATCGAAAAATGCTGATAATGATTTCCTTTAGAGATTCCTTATCAATGAATACAGGCATATTCCGCTAAAAAAGAAAATTACAAGCCTCAAACAATTGCGCTGTCAGACAAAGGCAAAAAATTCATTATTTATTTGCGGCTTACACTGAACCGACTAGCAGTCACCTATTAGCTATATAAAGATGAAATGTAGCCTCATACTACAGGCATCCAACAGCATATTGATATATTTCATAGGCTTAGGCATGAACACAGCAGAACACCAAGCAATACGTATAGTTCGTACGCCTGTGAATTACTACCAGTAACTCAGGGTTGGCTGCAGCGAAGCACTGCCAGATGCGCTTACTGTTCAATGCAATTAGTGATTAAAATAAGCATTTTACATCGCGCAAAAGATTTGGCTTAGATAGCTGTTAAGTGAAAAGCATGCTAATTGCCCCCCCCCATTGTTGTTTTACTTGGCCAAATAACATGGTCTCAGAAATTACAGGAGAAAGCATCAGTATTCTCACTCATTAAGCTAGTAAGTAATATTCAATAGACGCAAGTTTTCTGATAAACTCTTGAACAAAGAAATCAAGTCAAAGAAAAAAGCACTAAAAGAAATACACGATTCTTTAAGATCACACTAAAACACTACACAAAGCGTAATACCGTCAAAACAATAACAAATGCAAACAACGCAATTAAAACATTCTTAAGGAACGCCGTTCGCTGCTACCCCAGAAATTCGATACAGTTTATCCGATGTCTCTTCAAGATCCTAAAAATACGGTAATATTTCCACACAAATTCGACACTGTGATGCACTCGGCAAAGGGTTTTCATTGAGTTTACTTGAAAGACAGCATACGCAATAACATTTCGACTAAGCCGAATCTGTATTTCCAACAGATTTCACTCAACCAGACGACACCGGGGATTACAATCACTTAAATCAAAATATAATAGATATAACCCCGTCGTTGCCGGTCAAAAACCCGCATAAGAAAAGAGGACGGTAGGAGAGTGACGAAGTTTCTGAAAAATGTTGCCACCTGTCCTCACGGTACTGTCGTCTTCGAACATTATACCGGCTCGGCCATCGCCCGTGTTATCAAGGGCCGCGCACCTCGTAGGGGGACTGCCGCACACTATAACGTATAGCGTCTTACACTTGCACAATATGAAACTCAACTGTTTGATTTGGGATAGATGGAATCTGTTACTGGACCAACTAGTTAGTGAAGAGGTTCCTGACTGCTATCCAAGTGCAAACAGAACATTATACGTAACGAAGATTGTCAAATCATAATTGCAAGCCAAAAGTGCAAGAGAAATCGCCTGAAACTTTTGCGAATGATAGTTAATGGCAAACTGACTTATGCTGGCAGTTTGTTTTTTCATGGTGGAGTTGATTTGCTAAAGGAAATGGTGCAGAAAATCTGAGAAATATTTTCTAATGACTTTTGAGCATAAACATATACTTATAAGCAAACGGTAGTCCGTCGTCTAAACAGATATCACCAGAACGTACCTTCTGCAGTTGAATATTTTTCGTGAGAGCTTCTTCCAACATAATTTGAAGTTTCTTGTTCATCTGCCGAACATCGTCGTTCATTTCGCTGTGTCGGGCATTTTCTATCAGTTTCTGCAAATGTGACAAACCATGCAAAAGGGAACCACTGACTCCGGCTGAAATTTGCATATGAACGAATGCATTGCTTAAACAAGAATTGTTGAGTATCCCAACCTCCTGTTTCGGTTTTACTTATAACTTCCGCAGACAGCGCCGAATTACACTCTTCTAGCATACGTGTCTATAAACAAAATAATCATAAACAAGAAACAAAAAGCAGAATCATAATTTCTTGTCTTATTGAAACTGATAATCAGTTTATCAAAAATTCAACTTCAAAAAACGGAAAGAGAGGCTTTGACAATTTATTCATTAAATTATGCAGAAAAATTGTTCA